CCTCCCTCTCTGCATCTCCAGGAACAACAGCCAGACTCACCTGCACCTTGAGCAGGGGCATCAGTGTGGCCAGCTATCCCAATCTGTGCTGCTACTCAGACTCAAGCATGTGATTGGGATCAGCAGATCCCAGCTGCTTCTCTGGATCTAAAGATGCCTCTGCCAATGCAGGCTTTTTGCTTATCACTGGGCTCCAGCCTGAGGACGAGGCTGACTCTTACCATCAGATCTGGCACAGTAGTGTCTCTCACAGTGACACACAGAGATGGGGAATTAGGGACAAAAACCTGGGCCTGCTCAGAGTCTTGTTCCATGACGGTTTTAAGTTTTAAAGTAACTCGCACATATACAAATGACATTCGGAAGTGCTTCTGCTTCATAGAGTGTCTACTCCCAATTTTTCATTCCATGTTTCTGAAGTGTCAGGAAAACTAAACACAAAAAGAAAAAGAAAAAATTCATGATGACACTGAAATGTTGCCTGGTTATTCATATGGAATAAAACCAGAGATTTTTTTTTCTCTTGAAATAAGGAAAATGAGACTTCCCTAGCTTTTACCGTCATCAGAGCCCAGGGACCCTGCAGACAGGTGGACAGACCAACACAGAATGGACTGTGCTCTGTGAAGGGTCAGAAGCCTTCCCATCCCCCAGGTTCCTGTGCCCAGGGACAGCGAGGCTCACTGTGTCCCAGAGATGACACACCGCAATGTGAGGTGCTGAGTGAGGAAGAGCTTGGGGGGAATTTCAGGCACAGAGCTGGCCTGGAATCCTCACTTGGCACCGGAGCCTTCAGTTGTAAAGTCAGGGAGAGGGGCATTAGTCAAAGGGGCAGTTTGGGACTTGTGTCCAGGGAACCTCTTTATGGGTCATGAGAGGGTGGGGGATGCTCAAAGAATGCTGGGAAATGCCGAGCCTGCTCCAGAGGAGTTGGGTGAAGTAGGTCCATGGATAAGACCTTACAGCTGACACCACTCAGGACCCAAGGAGCCTTCCATGACTGGGTTTCCCTGAGCCCACAGCTATGACTTGTATCCACCTCTCCTCTCATACCTCACTGGAGCTTTCCAACAACACAGGGCGTGGGGCGGGGCTGTGAACATCAGGCGCAGGGACTCCCCAGTGTGTGCTTGTGTGACTCCTCCTGTGAAGCTCCTGATGGGCCCAGATCGAAGGTCACCTTCTCCTGCACAGGGAGCAGCAGAGACATTGGGGGTCACCATGGCAATGGCACCAAGGACTCTCATGCAGAGCCCCTACTTGTGTGACCTAGGACAGCAGTGGGTACCTTCCAGGGTTTCCAGACTGATTCTCGAGATCCACATTTATTACTAGGACCTCTTTGGCCACCTCTGGGCTCCAGCCTGAGGACAAGGCTGATTATCACTGTTACAGAGCTAAATACAACCCCAATGCCACAAAAAGCTCCTGTTCCATGGGAAGTTGGAGATACTTAGCTCTCAATGCAAACAGAATTACTTTGTTTCCAGAAAGAAAATAGCCTCCACAGGGGCTGTTTGTGGATGAGAAGGGCTGAAGTACAGCGTTTATGACCTGGAAGAACCAGGTGATCTCACCCTAGTCCTGTGTATGTCTCCTGGTACCAGCCAGGGGTTAGCGGATAATTCTCTGAGCTCTGAAAACTTAAAGAAGCTGTACTTCTCACTTTCACCTGATTTCAGAACTTTGTGGGACTCCTGATTTCCAGGAGTTCTCCCCCTCATTGAGGAGAACCAAAGGAGACATGAGTGACATGGACAAATCAATGTCTCAGCCCCAAACGTCACAGAGAAGACTTACTCAACCTACTGCCCTGGGCAGTGACATCATAAAAAACCCATCTGAAAAAGTCAGCAACGCCTTCCAGGACAGCTGGGTGGTGTCATAGGACATGGGCTCTGAGCCCAGCAGGGGACGCTGTTGGACTGCTCCTGAGAGGACAGGGTTCTTCCCTGGGCCATCAAGGAAAATACTCTAATGCGTCTTTCACACTTTGGCAACAAGTGTCCACATTGAAGTTTTACTTCCTGCACCTGGGGCCTCCAGGAGCCACATTAGATCTTGGCTCTGACACACCCATTCATGTCTCATATTTCATTCTTTACATCTCGTGGAGACATTGTTCTGAGCTTATGTTCAAGAAGGTGTAGATGCACGATTACACAGCAGGAACAAATTTGCATGAAGAAACATGGCCTGTGAATCTCTCTGGGCACAGGACCAACACCACACTCCACACTCCAGCCCAGGAGCACAGGAGGTGATGTCCTGTTGAGTGTCCCCACCATGGCCTGGACGGTGCTTCTTCTCCGGCTCCTTGCTTACAGCTCAGGTAAGGTGAAAGGACACTGCATCCTTGGGGGACACATAAAAGCTTGGTCTCAGGCTGACCCTTGTCTCTCATAACAACACTTGTCTCTCTCCCAGTGGTTTTAGGGGCAGATTCTCAGACTGTAGTGGTCCAGGAGCCATCACTCTCAGTGTCTCCAGGAGGGAAGGTGACACTCACCTGTGGCCTTAGCTCTGGGTCCGTCTCTTCCAGTAACTATCCTTTCAGGTACCAGCAAATCCTGGGCCAGGCTCCCTGCACAGTTATCTACAACACAAAGAACCGCCCTTCTGGGATCCCTGATAGCTTCTCTGGGTCCATTTCTGGGAACAAAGTCACCCTCCCCATCACGGGGGCCCAGCCTGAGGATGAGGCCGACTATTCCTGTGCTCTGAATATGGGTATTACACTGACACAGTGCTGTAAACCCATGGGGAAGTGCAACCAACACCTCCTCCTGTGCTCAGAACGGCTCAGCCCTTCGAGGCAGGAGAGCCAGTGAGAGGGTGGAGACAGTAACACCACCATCGGGGGAAGTCCATGGCCCCATCCTCCTATCCAAAGGTTCATCTCCATGTGCCTCCTCCAGCCTCTCCCAGGCTGTGTCCATCCCTCTAGGGTGACTCCTCCAAGACTTTCATTCCTCTCTCCCTCTCTGCCTGTGATGATGGGGGGAGGCTCAGCTCCAAAATACATCAACCGACAGTGAGACTCGGAGTCGCCACCACGAGCTTTGAGACTCTTTTTATTCAAACAGCATTGACAGGCCTACTCTCATCCACTAATGATGATGGAGAACAAGTTAATATTTAACATTTCTTCATGAATATGCATAAGCTAGGTCCATAGCACATTGTTCTTCTGCTCCATATGCCAGATGCTTATCGTCATTACACAATGAAGATGAAGAAGGAAAAGAAGCATATGGGAAAGTTCAGGTTTAAGGATGTCAGCGAGATAGTTGATGCTCCCCTGATATCCATTTCTCACACTTTTCACCTCCTGTGATTTGGGGAATCACTCAATTAACTGTGACAGACATTTACCTTTTTATTAGTGTAATTTAAAACTTATCAAAACCTTGATATATAAACTATATGGTAGATTTTTATATTTACTACTTTGGGGAAGTATTTGCTTTGCTTTCTGAGAAATTGAACAGTCAATTTATATCAGTATCTTGGCTCACAGTAGGGTGCATGGCCCATGGATGTTTGTGGTGACAGTGACCAGGTCTCAGGCCAGTGCCCCTGACATTATCTCCACCAGAGCTGAAGTCTGACTCGGGAGCAGAAGGGGGCGCTGTGGTTCTCCCCAGGGTCTGCACTGTGGGTGCCCCGCTGTGTAATCTCCCCAAACTTCCCAGGGCTGGGACATTGGTGCCTTCTGTGCTGATGGGGACCCTGCAGCTGTGTCCTGTCTGGGCTGGGCGGAGTCTCCTCACAGGGCTGAGAAAGGACCCAGCAGCTGCTTCCTCCCTGGTCCCTCCCTGGGGGCAAGTTCTGAGTCTCACTCATCTTACCCCAATTCCCAAAACTCACCCATCACTGGAGGGGAGTTGAAAAAGATCTTGTCTGAGATTTGGAAAAACAAACAAACAAAACTGTATTGAAAACCAGGCTCTTTCAGATAGAGGCTATGCATCATGCTCATGCTGCTGAATTGCTCTGTGTGCCACTGTCATTGCCTGGGCAGGTGCCATCATGCCCCCCCCAACCTGTAAGGAAGAGGACACGGGATGAGGAAGCCAGAGCAGCAAATGCAGATCTGGGCACAGAACAGCAACGAGAATGGTCAGTGCTGCCACCAGCTCCAGGTCCCCTGAACCACCACTGAGCTCTCACGTCAGCCTGAGTCAGGGGTGGACTGAGGGGAAGCTGAGGGAGACACCAGGGCTCCCTGTTATCAGCTGCACACAAGGCCTTGGACACGGTGGAGACAGCACTGAAGGAGCCTCTTTGAAAGGAGAGGTGAGCGGAGTTTGGGCATGTGTGCAGATACTGATGAGGCCTCACACACCCGCTGTCTCCCAGAGGAATCCTGTCGGGGGCAAGAACAGACAGAGGTCAGCAGATCCCGCCATCTGTGAGATATGGAAAGGCACTGTCTCCTCCACACACTGTGTCTTCAATGCCCCGGGTGCCCAGCCCTGATCTGTGTGAGGAGTGGAGGGGTCGTTAGAGCTGGAAGGGCTGGCAGCTTCATAAGGACCATGAATTTTACTTTTGAGGGAAGTGGAAATTCTGGAAGCACATCAATAAGGTTTCATTTGGGATTCCCAGTTTCTCAGTGGTTAGGAAGAAGTAGAAGCTTGAATCAGATTTCCGCTATAATTTATTTATTGATTTTTCATAAATTCCTCTGAAAATGTCATCTAATCCTTACTGAGGGCCTGTTGTGGGCAAAAAGCGGCCCTAAATAACGGACAGACTGTCTAACCATCTAACTTCACTACCAGCTTTGTGGTCAGAATAATTACCTTTTCCTCCAACTTACTGAGCTGGAAATCTAGGCTAGAGAGATGAAATAAGGTGCTCAGGGTTATCCCACCAGTAGTGGCAAAACTAGGTCTTGATTAATCCGTAGTTGATGCCAAAGGCCATTTTAACCAGAACATAATTGCCTCTCACAAATATCTAATGAAAGTAAATCAATGAAACGAACATAAATGAAAGTAAATCAATGTAATGTAAGTGACAGGACAAATTCAAAACGTTTTATTGCATTTTCTGAGTGCTTATACTGAATCTTTCTGGCTGGCCTCATAAACCATGAGTTATAGTCACCCAGCAATCACAGTCTGCAGGTGCTGTGGAAGGGTCTAGCCAGACCCAGTCAAGATGCTGCTGACTGAGGAGGCAGGAGCCATCACATGTCCCTCCTGCGGCGGTCTTGGCCAGCATTCCAACCATGGTGAGGAAGAAAGGGTTTGAGAATGTCCTTCCCCTGCACTCCTCTCCCAGGAGCCGGCCAGAAAGCATCTGGGGGCAGCAGAGGCGAGACTGGGAGGAAGGGCAGTGGGGGCTGAAGGCCTCCTGGGTCAGCACTGAGCTGACCGCTGGTGGGGAGGGGCGAGTGGGGGCTTCCGGGGGCGACAGCAGGCGTCCAGGGAGGGCGGCGCCCAAGGCAGCAGCAGGTCCGCAGGACGCCCTCACCGAGGTTCAGCGGCACGTTTGTGGGCGCGCAGGAGAGCCCAGGACAGGCGGAGCCAAGGGCAGGCGGTGGAGCCCAGGGGTGGAACGAAGGCGAAGCCCAGGATGGGACAGACGGCGGAGCCCAGGACAGAACAGACGGCGGAGCCCAGGACAGGCGGAGCCAAGGGCAGGCGGTGGAGCCCGGCAGTCCGCCCCGGCCCCGCCCCGCGGTCACGTGCCCCGCAGGCCCCGCCCCTGAGCGCCGCAGTCTAGACCCCGCGCCTCGCTCCTCTGATTCTCAGACGCCTGAGGACTCGCTGTGGTCGTGTCCGGAGGCCCTCAGCTGAGACGGCGCCAGGTGAGTGCCCAGGGGTCGGCGTGCGGGGCCCAGGGGTGGGGGGCAGGCAGCGCGGGACGCGGGGTGCCGTGTGGCATCCCACGGGGCGGACGCCTTCCGCTCGGACCTCCATTCCCCACCCGCCATGTCTCCAGCAGGTCCCCGCTGCCCTCAGCCTTGCTGACACCCAGCCTTCAGGTCAAGCGCCTTCAGCGGGCTGGGAGCAGGATTCTGCCCAGAGCAGTGTCGCAGGGGTCTGGGGTGAGGGCTGGTCCTGGGCCAGCTCTAAATACAGGGGGAGCTGGGATCCTAGAGGATGCTGTGCACCTGAATTAATCAAGGAGCCTCTAAAGTTCTCCCGGACCAAATAGAACCCTGGGGCCCCTCTAGGGCCGCAGGTGGGGGTCGGCGGCCTCAGGATAAGTGACCGCCCTTCGTGCAGCGCTGCAGTGTCCTTTGTGGGTGGAGGCTGCCATGGTGGGCCCTTGGAAAATCTCAGCACCCTCAGCGCCTCCAGTCCCCCATCCCCACCCTGCCAACCAGAAGAGGGTGCCCCCTGCCCTTGCTTCTCTCTACACTGCTCCTGGTTAAAATCCTGGGGAAGGAAAGAAAAACAAAAAACTAATTCTCCAGGGAGAAATCTTGAGTCAGATTTGTGCTTAGGCTTCTCACTGAGAACTTTGCTCATATTTTTCCTGGTGAACGTTGATGGAGGCAGAGCAGGCACCTCGCCTTTGGGCAGGGGGATTCAGGGAGCGTGGTGAGCAGGGCGTGGGGGTGCTCCACCTTTGTTGAGGTCCCTCTGCACAGCTTGTTGGCTTCCTCTCAGACCAGCAAGTTGGGGAGGCTCAGACCCCTGGAGGGGAGACAGATTGTGCCTCTCCTGATGCCCCGGACCCCCGCCTATTGCTGGGGTCTCTGGAGTCCTGACCTTGACTGCTGGTCTGTGTCCCCACACGCCCACCCCAGGCTGCCTCCTTCTGTGAAGGTTCTGGGTCAGGCCAGGCCCTCAGGTGCCTGCATGGCCGCTGCTGCCCCCCTGCGGCTGTGGAGAGGAGGCTGCCCGTCCTGGCCTGGCTGCTGGACTACTCCATGCAGTGGATGAAGAGGGACTTCATCCCTTGGCTCTCAGTCAGACTCATGGTCATTCCCCAGGCGCTGGCCTGTACTGAGGTGGCCTGACTCCTGCCCCAGGTGAGATGTCTGTCCCTGCTGCTGACCACCTCCCCTCCCCAGGACCCAACCTCCCATGCCTCAGCACCCCACACAAGCAGAGTAGAAATGCACAGTTTCCACTCCAGACAAGCAGAACCCAGGGTTCCAGCCCCTTGGGAACCAAGAAGCCTTGGATTACAGTCTAGAGCATGTGACTGCCTTTGGGTGGATGCAGACCCCTGTAACTGCTCTTCTCACACCTGTCACACTCAGTTATCAAGGCACTTCTCGATTGTGTGATGGGGCCAGGGGGTGACTCACTGTACCCTTAAGAACGCTTCCTCAGGGTCCGGCCCGATGGCGGAGTGGTTAAGCGTGCACTTCTGCTTCTCGGCGGCCCCGGGGTTCCGGTTCGGATGCCGGGGGCGGACATGGCACCACTTGGCAAAAGCCGTGCTGTGGTAGGCGTCCCACGTATAAAGTAAAGGAAGATGGGCATGGATGTTAGCTCAGGGTCATTCTTCCTCGGCAAAAAGAGGAGGATTGGCAGTAGTTAGCTCAGTGCTAATCTTCCTCAAAAAAAAAAAAAAAAAAACACCTTGAGGGACAATGATAGGCACTGCAGAAACAAAGGAAAAAGGCTAGAATCTGGAACTTAAACATAAGTTATAAATACAAACCAAAGGGAAGTTCCAGAACTAAAATTGCAATACATGAATAAAGACCTCCTAGATGGGCTCAGGAACAGGTGACACTTAGATTGAATTTCAGGTATTGGGGAGGATATTTAGTACAACTGGAGAAAAAAGTACCGACAAGGATTAGCAAAGACAGACAAGCAATGAATATGGTGTTATGTGCCAAATAAAGTGGAATAATGAAAATATTTTTAAAATATTTACGTACTGAAAGAAACAGGACCTTTTGTTCTGAATAATTCCCATCTTTGTTAATATTCTCTCGAGGATGTCACCAGGGGGCGCTGTCGGTCTGTTCCAGGTGAGCAAGGCCTGCAGCAAATTCAGGTTTAATGGACCCTACACCCAAGCTCAGAGGCCTGAGTTAGAGTTACAGCAGGTGCTTCCTCCCAAGGGACAAACTCAGAGCTCACAACACCCCAGCATTTCCTTCATCCTACACCACACTCAGTGGAGCCTTTTTATTATTATTATGGGAAATTTCAAATATACACTAAATAGGAGAAATTGAGTAATGAATCTACATACCCATCACCCATCTTCAACTCAATCAATGTTTTGCCAAATTTATTTCACATACTTCCCAACCCTGCACACATTGCTAGTTATTTCCTGAAGTATATTTTAATGATATAAATCTCACTTCCTTTAGCTGAGTTTTCATAGATTAACAAATCACATATCACCATAATCCAATATTAGAACATTTCCATCAGCCCAACTAGTTTGACAGCACCAGTTTGCAGTCAATTCATGTCCCACATCCAGCTCCAGGCAACCACTAACTCATTTCTGTTCCTGTAAATTTGACTTTTAAGGATATTTACTATAAACTGAATCATCATTGTGTAGTTTTTTGTGTCTGGCATTTTGCAAACCATATTTTTGAGATTCACCCATGTTGCAGCATTTATCAATATTTAGCTCCTCTCCTTTGAGGAGTAGTTTTTCACTGTATGAATGGACCGCATCTTGTTATTTTTCTCATCAGTTGATGGGCATTTGGATTTTTTTTCCAGTTGTGGCTCAACTGAAAAGTAAACACCCCAGCGAGAATCTCCCAAATGCAGGAACTTGGGAAACTGTGCAAGATGCCTTGCTAAGTGAACAGAGCCATGGGAACAACTCTATCATAAAATACTGAGGGGGGTTATTTCTTAATGACATATAGAGAAATTCCTGAAGGTACATTGAGAATTTATGGAATAGTGCCCAAGTAAATGTTTACAGAAGATATAGATATCTGTAGGGTAGAGGAGAGTTAAATGTTCATTTTACATCCTTCTAGACTATACAACTTTTTTTAATTAAAATATTATTTAAAAAATGTCCCCTGGCACCCCACTGGCCTGGCATGCCCTGCCTCCCACAGGACCCCATGGTGGCAAGAAGAGCAACTAGAAACACTGGTGTATTAGGTGTGGACTGCATATGACACAAAACTAAGTATGCAAAATTATTACTTTCTTCAACTTGAATGAGCACCATTTAATTTTTATTTCAATCTTTTATCCATGCTTGAAATAGATTTTTAAAAATCTGGTCAGATTAATCTACAAATTTCAAGTTTAAATGCCACATTCTGCAGTTGCCACCTCTCCCCCGCCCTCCATCCTAAGTTCCACAACTACAATGAGGGAAGTTGGTGCAGGCAGGGGGTCCTCCCACTGCTGGATGGGCCCCGCCATGGTGTGCCCACTGTTCACAGGCCCATGTAGCACTTGGCAGAATTAGCCTCACAGGAACCCCTCACAAGGTCAGGTTACAGCAGGGCTTGGCCCCTCTCAGTTGCTGAGGTCACTCTGAGGCCTCTGTGAGGCTGACACAAGCTTCCTCTCCTGGCCCCTCTTTCTGAATGTCCCCTCACTGGCACTGTCATCTGGGAGGGCTGGGGAGTTTTTAAACATCTGCACAGCTGAATAGAAACTCTGTAGGTTCAGTGCAAGATCAAAACGTTGGATCCCTTGTACAAGAAGCCAGGGGGGTGTGCAGTTAAAAAGAATATAAAGCATATTCTTTTAAATTAATTATTACATATTAAATGTAATAAAAGTGATAATGATGCATGAATAAAAACATGAAGTTATACTTTACCAAGCAATAACCTTCCAAAGTCATACTTTATGTTATACAGTAAATAATATTATTCTCACGATTCCTTCCAGAGGAATTGATAAAATTCACATGATGAAATGCCTAGAAGGACATTAACACAAGGACATATGAAGTAGTAAATTTGCAGTGATTTGTACAGCTGAGACTAACTGAGCATTAGATGAAGAAGGAATGATCTTGGTGGTGGGCACTAAGGTGACTGCCTTATAATCATTTATTAAGTTCTCTCATATTTTGGTGCTTCTGTATATATTTATTTTACCTCATATAAAATACTTTTAAGCATTTGCAATATATAAATATCAATTTATGTAAAAACCCCCAACAAGACTCTCTCTTTGACCTGGTCAATGCCAGGATTCCACTCAATGGGAATTGTCCTCTTTGTGACTTTAGAAAACTGATGGGAGATCATCATTAGTCAAAGATCCCAAAGCAGGTGTGGAACACACCAGTGAAAAAAGCATGGGCTTCTCCAGGATGATTTACCATTTATTTGTTTTCAATTGCAAATTTCTTAATCCCAGGAAGAAAATTTGTGCTGAGGACAAGTCCCCACCACACAATTTGTCAGCTGATGCTGTTATTTGTGAATGTCCTCTTGAATCAGGCATCAGTTGATAAAAGAGTCACAGTTGACAACTCACCCCCAACAACGAAACTGTGTGTGTCTTCTATCATGTACATTGTCAGATATTCATACAAGAGTTCAATTGAAAGAGAAATAAACAAACAAGCCACCATATCTCTTTCAGACAAAGATGGGCAGCCTTATCTTGGCATTAGATGGGGTCTCCACTCTCTCATGAGAAAGCTCCTCCAAAAGGCCCTCATGGGGAGTGAGGAGGACACGGATTAACTGTCAGTCATTGGTGGTGTTGCTCAGGAATTATTCAGGGACCCCTGCTTGATATGGATACAGAACTAGAGTGTATGGATGTGGTTGATTAACAAGCATAGAATAAGCTGCTGCTAGGTCATCCTCTTTGGCAGAAGAAGCATAGGAGAGAAGAGGAAAAGGAGAAGAATGAGACACAGAATCCTCAGCTTTGGAGCTAAAGACAGCTTAAACCAACGTGCAGTGTTCCACTTACAAATGGAATTAAATACACGCTATGATTAAACGAATTCCCATCACTCTTCTTTCCCATGTTTAAATCCAGCTAACTGCCACTGGCTTCTTGACTTCCTTCAAACCATCTCAGCCTCCATGGAGCCATGTATGCTGCATTTCCCCTCGGTTGTATGAGATTTTCCAATTGATGAAAAGCAACCTTACACTGGGAGACTGATCTAATTCCAGGAAAATTTTTCTTTTATTTATTCACTAAATATTTGCCATAAAGATAATCAATTTTAGAAATTTGGAAAATACGGATGTCCTACCATTTCAACTAAACATTATTACGCACGTGATATTTTCACTTCCAGTCTTGCTTCTCTAACTATATGTGTGTGTATATTGGTCAGCAGCTGGCCAGGTTCACACTAGCCAGCCAGGAGTGGGCAAGTTCATTACAGAGAGGAGGGCTGGGGTGAGCAGTGATGCTCTCTGACCGAGCTATACAAGAGAGTTACAATGAGTGACGGGCACCAGGGTAATAACCAAGTAGTACTGTTATTCTTATGTGACAATCTTCCCAGGGGTGATAGCTCACAGAATTTGAACACTTCTTAGCCATATTTTTATAATCTTATCAAATACCATTGAAATATCACCTATATTCTTATCTATTCTGGCCTAGATGCTGAGGAATGACCCCACACCATCAAAAGTTGGTGAGGTTGTTCTACACGGTGTCTGGATCTCTCAGAATCTGTGGCTGACCAGAAGCATGTGGGCTTTCTCCATGCTTTTTCTGCTAATTACTATGCCAACATTTGTGGTAATGTGCACCAATATATGATCTGTGTGATGTGACCACAGAGGCTACCTTATAATGAAGGACAGTGATTGAGACCTCTGTATGCCCAGGTGATTCAGGAACATGGATGGATGCTGGGACACCCTTGCACTGGGACTAATGATCCAATTGTGGAGTAATGAAGGCTATAAAGTAGTTCAGAGCCTCAACACTGGGGCCACAGCCCTGCATACACACTTAGACTCTTTCACACAGGAGCTCAAGAGCTTGGGTCACTCATCACTGCACCTCATTTTCTGAGGAGTGGGAACAGCAAACACACCCACAGATATGGCTGTGGTGAGTGATGAGCAAGTCAATTGTGTGTAAAGCATAGAGTGGCTATGGGGTTTTCTTTGAGGATGGTGGCACTTACAATTGTGCTGTGTAACTAGGACGTATCTATGGAGAACTGACATTCTCTGTCATATGCACTCCCGACGCATTCACAACAACATCCCACAGACTCACACACAGGCACCCCTAAGGCCCCATGCACACAAATCCACACCCCTGAAGGGAACACAGCTTTTCCAGGGACTGCAGAATGTTGCCAGAGTTCTTTACCTGGGAAAACAGTTCTTACATCACACTCCCCATCCTCATTCCCAGCAGGAAGCTGGAATCATGGAGGCTCTCCAGACTAAGGCCAGCAAGAAAGCCCCACCTTTCTGTTCATTTGGATTTTTTCCTCAGCATGTAAGTGTTCCAGAATGCAGACCATTTTCACGTGTCATTGAAGTCACCTACAATTACAGAAAAGAAAACACAGAGGGTCAGATCATACTGTGTAGGTTTTATCAGATCTTGTGTCTTCTTAGTGAGTATAGAATACCAGAGAGAAAGCAGTAGTCAAGCCACGGGCACCAGAAGCATACAGGACATATGGAAAAATACTAGCTTTTCCTATGGGCTGTAATTCTCAAGTCCATTTTGGTCTACAATTACAAAATTCTTAATCCAAAGAGAAATTGCTACTAAGGATAAGTCCCCCTTCCACACAGTTTATAACTTGATTCTGCCATTTCTTTTCCTTCCTCCCTAAAGCCCCAGTTCATAGTTGTATATCATAGTTACAGGTCATTCCAGTTCTTCTATGTGAACCGCCCTCAAAGCACGGCAACTGGCAGACAGGTGGTGTGGTTCCGTGACCAGGAAGTGAACCCAGGCTGCTGAAGAGGTGGGCAGGGAACGTTAACCACGAGGCAATAAGGGATGGTTCAGTGATGCAGCCATTTTTAAATGCCCCCTTGAATCCTGCATCTGTGTGTAAGAGTTTGTGTTAGTCAGTTCAGACTGCTGTAACAAAACACCATGGACGGGGTGGCTTAAATAACAGACATTTATTCTTCATAGTTCTGGAGAGGAGGATGGGAAAGAACAAGGTGCCTGTGCACTCGGTGTGTGGTGAGGGCCTCTTCATGGCCTGTACACCACCCCCTTGTATCTGTTTTCTCACATGGTAAGGAGAAGGGAAGGTCTATTCTCTTGCTCTTCTTATGAGGATACTAACTCACCATGAGGGCTCCACCTTCATAACCTCATCCAAGGTTCCCTCCAAAAGACTCACCTCTTAATACATTTACATGCGAGTTTAGGGCTTTGGCATATGGATTTTTGGGGGAATGTAAATATTCAGTTTATAACCTTCTACCCTTCTATTCTCCCAAGATATGTATTCTAGCATAATTAATGTATATTGTCATATTTTCAAATTTGAAACTAAGTTTTAAAAATTCAAGAAGACAATATTTCTATGAGACACAACCTTACTTTGGCACTTCATGGAGCCTGTTTGTCTGCCCCGCCAGTAGGAAGCTCCTCCAACTTGTTGTCTTGGGGTGCTAGGGGGACTCAGAGTAACAGTCCTTCAGCGGTGGTGTTGCTCATGAAATACTCTTGGAGCTTTGCTTTATTTAGAGAAGTGGCTGGAGTGTACGGATGTGATTCTTTAAAAAGCATAGACTGAACTGAGATTGGCCAGTCTTGCTTAGTGGAAGAAGGAGAGAGAAATGAAAACAGCAGAAAATAAATGAGAAAAAAAGTATTTAGCTTTGTAGAAAAAAAGCAGCCTAACGCAATGTGAAATAGTCACAAATGATCCTAAACTACATGCAATGATTCAGTTACACATTTCCATTACTCCTCTCACCTATTGTGAAATCCTGCTGAGCTGGTGCTATCTTCTTGTCACCTCCCAAAACAATTTCACTCTCCAAAGGTACATATATTTACCACTGCAATTATCCTCTTTTCTATATGATTTTTCATTTGATTACATGCAATATTTTCTTAGGTGACTGGATTCAATTCTAGGTAAAACATTCCATTGCAACTATTGGCTAATACTTTGTCCTAATCAATTATGGAAGATAGGTGAAGCACAGGGTGTTGTTAGGATAGTTAAATCAGCCTCCATGACAGTGTAATGGTGACATAAGACAGGATGTATTTGAATGTAGAATGTAGAAATGTACAGCAAAAGAATAAACCCTAATGTAAACTAAGGAATTGAGTTAACAGCAATGTGTAAATATTGGTTCATTAACTGTTCCATGCTCCACATTAACGCAAGATTTTAATGACAGTAGGAACTGGCAGGTGGGCGGAAGGATATGAAAACTTTATTATCTGCTAGATTTTTGTTGTTGTTATTAATATAGAACTGTTTTAAATAGTAAAGTCTACTAATTAAAGAATAATATGGCAGCAGTATTTCCATGAGAGATCTATTTTGGCTAATGCTAAGTGAGCAGCTGATATATAAATATTAGTTTGACACATGGTTTATTGTTAAATGTGAGCCAAATTTTGACAATAAATGCATCTTTACTCCTGTAGTTGAAACACTACTGATTGACTTGGTAAGTTAAACTTTTCCTATGTAAATGAAGAAAGACATGGCTTAGCATTTTTATAGTATTGTCTTGAAAAAGGGACATGGAAAAATTATGATGATTATCCTTAAATTAACTTACACATTGAATTTCCACAGCACCTTCAATGGAGTCCTGTGTGTGGTGCACCCTGGCATGTGACAAGATGCCCACTGTTCTTACCCACTGCTGGAATTGGGCTGTATCTTTCCTTAAACAAAGCACAATTTTCTCTTTGTATCCATAAGGTTAGATCCTGGGATATGCAATCACACTAGAGAGAGCTTTTGACATACTGCTGGCAGAAGACCACAGGAAAGTCAATAATAAGTTATTCTCAGTTCAAACTTTTGATACCATTATTCACAGGCTGCCCAACAGAACTACTTGCATTAAAGTTGTGCTTCCAGAAAAGAACGCAGTTTAGTGTTCACTTAAAACACTTGGATTGTGTGGGAAAATACTTTGATTTAGATGAGACAACACAAGCAGCAGAGCACAGTGACAGAGAGCATGGGTGCAGGTGCCTGATGACCTGGGTTCAAATCCCACTTAGATGTCACATGACCCTGGGAAAGTTACATAACTGCTCTGTGTCTCAGTTCTCTGCGCTGTCATATGAAAACTTGAAGGGCCCATTTATTACTATTATATTATAGGACTATCATTATTACAAACAAGTAAAGCTTTAAGACCAAGTACTGATTCATCACAAATGCTCAATAAGACTTCAGTTATTAAATGTCTGAAGAATAAGCTACATGTTGCTGGTGGTTGACTACAGAGAGGGGATGGCTACAGAACAGGGGAGGATGGAAGCTTATTCTCCAACCTTTACATGGGAAGGATGCCCACAGTTCATGGAGAATGTCTGTTTTCATCTCCTGTGATCCCCATTGTAACCCTATGCGGGGTGCAGAACAGGGGACATAGCACACCTCTTGCAGTTGAAGGCAATTAAATTTAGAGAGGTTAAGTGACCTGTCCGGAGTCAGAACACTGATGAATGAGCGATCTGAGGCAGGAATGTAGTTGGTTCCCTGGGTACAGAAATCGGAAAACCTGAGACCAGTAGATCACACCCCAGATGCCTGAATCAAGATCCTCCATCATTCTCTTCCTGAAAACAACTTAATGACAGGTTTCTTTGGGGAAAAAGTTGATGCCCTGGATGATGTATCCAAACCAAAAGAAAAGTTGGTGGGGGCTAAATCCATGATCTGGCCTCTTGCCTCCACATTTCAATCCCTTATCCAAATATGAAGCAATTTACCTGGATTAAAGCCCCTCAGAAGGAAAAGGGATGTTCAAACTTGTGTTCAACCTTCCCCAGCATGCTTACACTGTCACCTGCCTCCTGGTGAGCCTTCCTGATGGTTAGGGGACCACCCTGAGTGACCAGTATCTGTTTGGCTCTCTGCCTCAGAAGCCCAGACATTCCACCGCAACTGTCACATGACGGTTCTGACAAGAACTAGCTTTCAGTCAACTGACCAACCCTGGATGAGCAGTTAACGTAAACTAACTGGGAAAGTGGCTGTCTGAGCTGCTGCTTTGGTGGATTAATGAATTAAGTGTGTGACCCCAATATCCCGCTGACTATACCTGAGCTGCCCCTGTGCAGCCTG